CATGAAACTGAGAGTGGTTTAATGTGTCACCCCTCAGATTCTGAGGCATGGAAACACTTTGATCGATGTCATCCCTATTTTGCGTGCGAACCACGCAATGTACGTATTGGTCTTTGCACGGACGGATTCGCCCTGCATGGACAGTTTGGGGCACAATACTCTTGCTGGCCTGTGATGATCACGCCATATAATCTTCCACCAGACATGTGTATGCGAAGTGAGTTTTTGTTTCTAACTTTGATTTGCCCAGGTCCACACAATCCCAAAAAACGGCTTGACGTATATATGCAACCAATGATCGACGACTTAAGACATTCTTGGGATGTGGGAGTCCCAACATATGATGTGTCCAGAGACCAAGTATTTAACATGAAGATCGCATTGATTTGGACCATTAGTGATTTCCCTGCGTATGGTATGCTCTCAGGGTGGAGTACAGCAGGTTTAAAAGGTTGTCCGCTATGTATGGAATGGTCAAAGACATTTTATCTCCAACATGGTAGAAAGCCAAGTTACTTTGATTGTCATAGGCGATTTTTACCTCACAATCATCCGTACCGCAGGGACAAAAAATCATTTCGCAAAGGCGTTGTCGAGCGTGATCCTCCACCACCCTCTTTGGATGGATCACAGATATTTGAACGAGTGCGTGATTTTGCTACTGCTGTAGAGAGTCCAAGAAATGATCCGGTCGGATATGGAACAGAGCATAAGTGGACCAAAGAGTATTTTTTGGGAACTACCTTATTGGAAGGACTTACTTGTACGCCACAATTTGGATGTCATGCATATTGAGAAGAATGTCTTTGATAACATATTCAACACGGTTATGAACTTCCCAAACAAGACAAAAGATGGACTCAACTCGCGAAAGGACGTATGGTTGCATTGCGACAGACCTGAAATTGTTGTTGCACCCGATAGTGATGGTCCAGTTGTGAAAGCAATATACCAGCTTACCAATGAGCAAAAGAGGAAAGTATTAGAATGGCTAGCTGCTCTTCGATTTCCAGATGGGTACACCTCAAACTTAGCGAATTGTGTAGACATGGCTAATTTGAGAATGCGGCATATGAAAAGTCATGATTGTCATGTAATCATGCAAAGACTTCTTCCAATTGCTTTGAAAGAAATGGTCCCTGAGGCGGTTTGGAATTCAATTACTGAGGTTAGCCAATTATTTCAGTGTATATGCTCCACTGTGCTCAATGTTGTTGGTCTGGAAGACTTAGAGCGCAACATTCCATTAATAATGTGTAATCTAGAAAAGGTCTTTCCACCATCATTTTTTGACTCAATGGAACATCTTCTTATTCATCTTCCATATGAAGCCAAAGTTGCTGGCCCTGTTTTTTATAGATGGATGTATTGTTTTGAGAGGTTAGTATTTTCTGTC